CCCCGCCGGTCACGTCGGCCCGCGGTGGGTGCTATCGCATATTTTTTCTGGAGGTTTTTTCGCGAGCCGCCTACAGCCCCGGCAAGCACATGCCGGCCGGGGGGCGTGGCGCGCGCCCCGCATGGCGCGCGCCCGCTGCCGAGCGGCCAAACTCGGCGCCCGCCGTCCGCACCGGCCCCTTGCAGGGGCCGTGCGACGCGGGGATTAGTGCGCTTTCATTGCGCGTGGGTTTTGTTGTGGTGTTGCCATCCGCGCCTCGCAGGCGCCGGTGGCGTTGACCGCCTGCCATGCGGCGGTTGACGGCTCGTTTTCCTTGACCCTGGTTGGAACACGGTGGCGACAGGATCCTGCGATGCCGCAGGCGGAGTAACAAATCATCAGCGCCGCCCTTCGAATTTCGACCTGGAAATGGTATAAATGGACTCTATACAACCCCACAAACATGCTGGACCGGGGGGGAGGCCATCTGGTCAGGGCACGTGGGTTGCCCCAGACCGTGCCTCGTCTTCGTCTGCCCGTGTTGCTGTGCGCTGCAGTGCATCTGCCGTGGCGGCCCCCTTGCAGCGCAGAAGACAGGGGGCTGCGCTGTGTGGGCGGGTGGAGTGGTGGCAGGCTTGCTGGCAGGCGCACCCGCGGCCTCCTGCGTTCGGCTAGTGCATTGCCAAGTGCCAACTGGCACGCCGCCCACTGCGTTTCCCCAGGGCCAGGGCGCCAAGTCCGCCTCGCCGAAAAAGAGGTAATCCTGGCCATTCCAAGTCTTCTGCCCTTTCAAGGCCTCGCTGGCATTCCGCAGAGCGTGGGGCGGCAGGCGTACGGCGTGCGCACCGCTGCCTCGCCGAGGCGGCCGCCGGCCTGTGCCCGTGGGCCCTTGCGCCCCCTCAATTCGCCTGCCAGTGGCAGGCCGGCCCGGCATCTTCCTCCGCCCTGGTCCCGGCCGGGGATGGGAGGGGAATCGAAAGGCGCACTGCGGCAAGGCGCGGCACTGCACACCCCGCGTGGGGTGCGCGGCGCCGCCGCGCGCCCAGCTCGGTTTCAGGGCGGCAAATTCACCCCCTCAATTGAATTCGGTTGTGTACCGCGCCTCCTGCGCCGCCCCTGCGTGGAAAGACCGCCCAAACGCTAAACGTCCTCGCGCTCGAGCTGCGCGAGCTCTCGGCCCCCCTGGCCAATCCCCAGAGGCGACTAATCGTCAGCATGCATTGCCTCAGGCTCTCGCCGGGGCACCAGGCCTCTCGCGTGGCCCGGCAAGCCGCCAGATCGCCCGCTGGCAGGCCCGCCAGCCAGCACCGCCGCAGCGCCGTGGTCGTCCGTGCGGCTCCCAAGCAGCAGATGCTGGTGGGTCGCGCGCGGCAGGGCGAATGGGCCGCACGCTGGCGCGGCGCGCCGCGCGCGGCCGCCGCGCGCGCTGCAGCGCCGCCGCTGCATGCGCCGCCGCCGCCGCACGCGCCCGCACGCCCCCTCGCATGCGCGCGCCGCCGACCCCCGCGCCCCGCCCCGCCCCGTCCCCCGCCCCGCCAGGTCTACGTCCCCCCCCACCCGCTGGTCAAGCACTGGCTCGCGATCGCCCGCAACGCCGCGACGCCGCCGTCGCTGTTCCGCAGCGCGTGCGCCGAGCTGGGGCGCATCCTCATTTACGAGGCGGTGCGTGAGTTCCTGCCGACCGTCGAAACCACGGTGGACACGCCCGTGGGCCCCGCTGACGTGGAGTTTGTCGACCCCACCAAGCCCATCAAGGCGCGCTGGGGGTTTTGGGGGGGGAGGGGGGGGCGCTAGGGGGGGCCAGGGGGGGGGATGCCGCAGCAACAGCCACGGCGCGGCCGCGGCGGCCGCCACGGCGGGCGGGCGCGGCGGCGCGACAAAGCTGCCAAAAGCGGAGCAAGCGGCACCTCGCCCTGCCGCCCCTGTCACGCGGCACCCCTGCCCTGCCACACAACCCACCCACCCCCGAACGCACACAAAAAACACGCACAACGCACCCCCCCTCCCCAGGTGGTCCCCATCCTGCGCGCCGGGCTCGTGCTGCTGGAGCAGGCGGGCACTGTGCTGCCCATGAGTGAAACCTACCACGTGGGGTACGTGCGGGACGAGACCACGCTCAAGGTGGGGGGGGGCAGTCTTTGGCGCGGGGCGTGTGCACCGCAACCGCACCTGGCACCTGGCGGCTGGCTGCGTGCCGTGTCGCCTGCTTGGGCTTGTTCTCTTCCCATTTCTTCTCATTGCTCGCGGGACCGCTGCAGCGCGACGAGTCGCCCCCATCACCCCAGGATGAGCCGCCTTCACCGCCCCCCCCCCCCATAGTGCACAACCAACCTCACCCACACACACACCCAAACCGCCACCACCCCCCAGGCCACCCCCTACCTCAACAAGCTGCCCGCCAGCCTCTCCCCCGACGACAAGATCCTAATCACAGACCCCATGCTGGCAACGGGGGGGACAATGCTGCAGGTGGGGTTGGGGGGCTGCTGTCCCGCGCTGCCGCGGGCGCGGGGCGCGGGGCGGGGAGCAGCGGGGGGTGCCAGGGCGGGCCGCCGGGGGGGCCGCTGTTTCGCCGCGCACACGCGGCTGGGGCCTCGCCGCCCGCAAGCCCGCCAGCCCCGCGGCGGCTTCCCTGCCGCCTGTCCAACCCCGGTCAAACCCCGGGTCAAAACCCCGGTCAAACCCCGGCCATACCCTCCTCAAAACCCCGGTCAAGCCCCGGTCAAACCCCCCCCCACAACCTCGGTCAAACCCGGTCAAACCTTTGTCACCCCCCCCCCAAAGGTCATCGAGGACATCGTGGCCCGCGGCGCCGACCCCGCCAACATCCGCATCGTCTGCGTCGTGGCCGCCCCTGTGAAAAAACCCCTCAAAAAAACCCCACCTAAAAAACCCCACCAACAAACCCCACCCAAAAAACCCCGCCCCCCCCCCAGGCCTGCGCGTCTACTCGGCCATCATCGACCCCGAGCTCAACGAAAAGGGTTACATAGTGCCGGGCCTGGGGGACGCGGGGGACCGCGCGTTCGGCACTTCGGGCTGAGCGGGGGAAAGGGCCAGCCCCCCCGCCGGCCCCCACCCCCCGCCGCCCGCGCCCGCGCCCGCGGCGCGCGCGCCCGCCGCGCCGCCGGCGCCCGTGCCTCGCGCGCGCGCCGCGCGCGTCCCACGCCCGCGCTGCAGGGCGGCGGCCGCGCCGCCGCCGCCGCGGCCCCCTCCCGGTGGTGTGCCGCAGCGGCGGCGCCGCGGATCGACTGTGGCGGGCGCGGCCAGGCGGGCCCGGGCCGGCCAGCGGCGGCGCTCGCAGGAGCAGCAGCAAGCAGCAGCGTTTGTTTCGCACCGTGACCGTCTGTCTTCCGCACGTTTGTCCCTTTTTCGCAGCAGCTGGCAGGCGGCAAGCAGCAGGCGGACCCCCGTACACGCCTCGCTGGTTTGGCTCCACCACCCCCCCCCCCCTTCCCTCCCCCCCCCTCCTCCCTGCCGCCCATGTGCATGACCTGTTAGCAAACATCGTGATGCCCCCAGATTGTTGACCCTATTGTTTCCGCATGCCACCAAGCGTGTAACCAACAAACCACGGCCATGAAAAAACGCCCCATGCACGGCGCCTCCCCGCGCATGCCTGAGCAGCGGAGAGCGCGCGCCCGCCCGCCGCGAAACTGCGGCCGCCCGCCCGCTGCATCACAGCAACGCGGCGGCCGCCGCGAGCAGCGCCGCCGCGAGGCCGCGCCACCCGGCGCCGCCGCCGGCCCGCGCCGCGCCGGCGCCGCCCGTGGCGGCGGGGCAGGGCAGCGTGAGGTTTGAGGCGACGGCGAATGAGTAGGCGGAAACGCTGATCGGCTCCGAAGCGCTGCCCGCGGGCCCCACGAGCCGCGCGAGCGCGCTGCTGTTGCGCACCGCCGCGGCGAGCGTCGCGTTGCAGGGGGTGGCGTCCACCCAGATGCGGATGGCGCGCGCGTTTAGGGGCTGCTCCACTGCACAGGGGGGGCGTGGGCGGTGCGGTGCGGGGCGCACGAGGGGTGTGAAAAAGAGCCGCGAGTC